AATATATATATATATATTAATGGCTAAACACTACACTATGGTAGGTTTATGTTTTAAATGTGTATATCAAAGGAAAAAGATTGGGAATAACTGATTGGTTTGCTCAGTTTTTGCACCACAGATTATCTTAGTAAATTTTAAATCTAAAAAATATGTGGTTTAATGGGAGGATAGAATATATAATAGATGTAACAATTGAATAAAATATCTTTAAAACAAGAAAATTATGTGTTAAGTAGAATTAAAATACATATGTATTTAAAAATGCTATCAAAAATCTTGTTAATTGTAATACATAAAGTTTTACTCATAAAAGTTTATTTTTTTAGTTTCAAAAAAAAAGTTAATAAGTAAGACAATTAGAAATTGACTTAGAAATATCACCAGTATGCATATCTTTCATTGTACCTGTGTTAGAGTAAGTTATTTTCAAGACTGAGAAGTATATTTAATTTCAATGCATTATAGTTTTCAAAATGTTTATCAAATAAAAAAAATCTTTTTTGGTAAATAACAACTAATTTATGACTAAACGTTGTGTTTTCTGTGGATATGCTCTGAATTATAATTATAAAATCTGTGTTGTATAGCTTAATACTTGGTTCCAAAATAATATGTAACATCTGAAGAGTTTTTCGTTATCACAAAATTTTGCTAATTTGTATTTCTCCAGTGTCATACTTGGGCAGCTATTGTTTAAATTAAATGTGACATAGTAAAATACTGTAGAGGCATTTATGTAATGGTAGCACAAGGTGTACATCCTGTAAAAGTGCTTTCTGAGCTGTTTTGCATGTGTAACCAAAATAAATATCTGTAAATGGGCTATTCATGCAAGCATGAATTACAGTAAGTGAAGTGGTTCCAGTACCCCTACTTTTTTTTCTCAAAGAACCCTATTATTTCTCAAACACCCATGCTTTTTTTCCTTCTTGAAAAAGGTTTTTATAGTTTGAAAAAATGTTTTACAGTGTAATTTCAAGCACATGATTCAAGTGTGCCGTCCTGTTGATGTTGCTTAAGGGATTAATTGATAAAGTGTGAAAGCAAGTGCAATAAGTCTATCTTTTAAAATATATTTAAATACTTGTCTCTCAATTACAAAAATATTTATTTATTCATAATGTCACTGCAAAATCCAAGTGTGAGTAATCTTATTGTTATGTCCCTATTTTAGCATTGCTTTGTCCTACTTTTACAAAATATTCAAGTCCTATTCTTGCTCTACTTTTTTCATCAGGTTATGCTGAGAGGCCTGTAGATATTACAGTTAACGTGGTAAAATTGGTAAATAAATAAAAAAAAAACTCTCTTCTTATTGTTCAACTACAGTTTATCATCAAAAAAGAATATGATGAACAAGAAGAGAGAAAATAATAAGTAGATAATAAACGTATTTTATTGCTCGGATTCATGAACATCATGAAGTTACACAACAATAAATTATTCACAGATGTATAAAAACATTTTATTGGTAAATTAAGGCTAGTATATTTAGCTTGAACTTTAATGTTGAAATGTATTTTTAAGAATATTAACAAAAATGAAAACTAGAGACTTGTGTCTCATATGATCTGTTGTTGATACTGTTCTTTAATTTTTATCTCTTCATATGTGATTGTCATAAATATCAGTTCCAGATTCATCAAAATGAATTACTTTATTTTCTTGTTATGTAAACTTATCTAAAGAAAAAGTAAAAGGCAACAGGAAATTCTTTTTTTGTCATCCTATTTTGTATAATTTAGTTATTTCATATATACACTACTTAGTTTTATATCCATTCAGTTTTGTTTGTTTAGTCATGAGCTTATTTAGGCTTGACATGTATGTTGTACATCTACCTGCAACCAAGGATTGTAAATTTACTATTGTATTTTCAAATTTTCTGTTGTTTTATGTATTAGTGTATACACACACACACACACACACACACACACACACACACACACACACACACACAC